ACTACTACTACTACCGTACTACTTACTTACTTACTTACTACTACTACGTACGTACGTACGTCTACGTACGTACGTCGTCTACTACTACTACTACTACTACTACTACTCTCTCTCTCTCTCTCTCTCTCTCTCTCTCTCTCTCTCTCTCTCTCTCTCTCTCTCTCTCACACACACACACACACACACACACACTCACGCACAAACAGGGACAGACACAAAATAGTATGAATTCATGGGTGGATTTCTCTGATATGCAAAACAAATCTCTGTATCGTTATTGACCCAAAACACAGTCTCCTTATTCTGTACTATAACAACTCAACGTTTTTTACTTGATTATTCCTCTGTTTTCTTTTTGCAATTTTCAAACAAAATTTCATTCTGGCTCTTCAATGCATGACCCTCAACTGACCATCTAGGAAGATTTCTATTAAAAAAAAAACAAACCATCTAGAAAGGCCAATTTAATCGTCAAAGCAGGGTTGCCCGTAGGAACTTTGCTCTTTGGAGTTCTCATCAAGTTGAATACTTAGGTCCTTTTTGGATGACAGTTAGTTTTATCAGAAATAGACTATTTTGTCCAAACTTAACATGCTCTGCATCTAGCTGTTTCTTAGTGCTCACTTAGGTGGTTTATAATAATATTTGATCAGGCGATTTTAGATTCACAGGGATAAACTAAGTAGGTGTATTATGACCAGGATGAAGTGCAATTGAAAGCAAAACCAAGGTTTCTTTCCTTTTCTTTTTCTCTTTTCTTTCTTTTTTTTCTTTTTTTTTTTTTGAGTGAGGTTGAATGGATTTTAGGTCTTATTTGCAGGTTTTTTTAAAAAAGCGGGCTTCAAGAATTGGCATCGACAAATGCATTGTGGAATAGTTCCCACACTAGTACGTCAATAACTAGAATTAGACATGTTTCGTGGTCCATCCAAACAGGGCATTAGGTGTTTGCTACCTGACCCAAAAATCTGCATATTGAAAATTGGCCATGGCCCTAAACTACAAAAGCCCCGCTCTCCACAGATTCGTAGGAGAATAACTGTTCACTCCTACTCAAGCCTGTATTTGCAGAAACCTCTTTCTCTTATAGCATCAAATTTTCTTCATGCTAATTTAACCTCATTCTTAGTTTGAATCAGATTCTTCACACCCCAGCGGTATCCCAAAAAACAATATTTCTTCACACGCCAGAGCTGCAATAGATCAGCATGTAGATGTTTCATCACTCGAGCACTCACAATTTCAAATATTGAAATAGTGAAATCCATTTGAATCAAGCAAGACCAATCTATCCAGTCCTGTAGAAAGCTTCAACAAGCTTACATGGCCAATGTTCCACTCCAATTCTCCTCCTTGTTCATCTAATTCTTCCTATGAAAAATCATCGAAGCAGAGTCCATTCTCAAGCAACTCAAATAAAGCTGCGATTGGCATGTCTCCAATAATGGCAAAATGACAAATTGAAACTGGATTTGTAGTGGTCCCCTCTATAAATGAAAATTAGGGATTGAAAGGGCAATTGCGAGGTCTGGAGTCAGAGAATCAGACCTCAAATCTAGAGTTTTAGATGTTTCCATTAATGCCTACG